AAACAAACAAATAAGACCAAAGCTTTCAAGCTTACTTACTTTATATTTGAGCAAATCAATGCCTCCACAGATATATTCCTTTTTGGAAAAGAAAAATAGTCTTGGTGTTGTGTATTAATTGTAATGCCCTGTAAGCATCCATTTGCGGATGTTTACACAAACACAGTGATAGTATCATGGAAGCCCGGAAAGTAATCCTTTTGTCACTTCTACACCAGGTAAGGCATCCTTCCTTTGATCTGGTGCCTTGAACAGATGCCATCAGTATAAACTTAAAAAAACATAATATGCCATAGGCTTGAAAGTAACATGTGCCTTGCATAAATCTTGGTCTTAAAGTTCACTAACTTTTTTTCTGTGAAAATACTAATGATAAGTGATGATATTCTAATTAGTGTGCTGAAAACATTTAGCAAATTCTGAAATAATCTTAGAGAATCTAAAGATAGCAGATAATTCTTTTCCAGTTTTACATTGAATAATGTCTCAGCTAAGCTATTAAAATTTAATTAAAATTAGAAGCATTGTGAATACTAAAAGTACTCATTTTGAATCTAATCCCCTTAGAGCAAAGAATTCAGGTGACCTTTAGGTACTAGCCAGTGTCTTAACATGCGTTGTCCTTAACTTTTAATATCCTAATTATTTTGTTTGTTTGTTACAGCTTTAGGAGAACTACTTGAAAAATTTGTGCTTTATCTCACTGAAAACCCCTCTGAATGTTACTTCCCTTCAGTGGAGTACACAGGTACATTCTATATTGTGAAGTTTGGAAATGTTTAATTTGTAACTAGGTAATAATTCATAGAGATATGTAAGTAGAGTACAAATATGTACAAAATTTCTGATCCTAAAATCTCCACTTCAGTGTCTTATATAGTCCTACTATCAATTCTCACTGTGAATATCTGGGTTTCCTTGAAATGCTGGGACTTAACATTTGCTTTTGGTCTCTGTTAGAAACTGTTTTTCTTGGTGGCATCTTCTGCTCTTCTCTATTATCATGTGTCCTCCACTCGTCTCTTCCATTCATATTATTTTACCATGTTAGTCTGCTTCCTGGTGCACTGTTTCAAGACCACAGATTGGGAAAATTATAAAGAAAAGGGGTTTATTTTCAGTTGTTGTTCTGCCTCAAGGTCACAGGAATGTATCTGATCATAATGATGTCTTGCTTCTGAGTCCTGATATGACACAGTGAATTGTCTGGTGAAAGATGAGTGTATGTTCTCTGGTCTTTCCCTCATCTCATCTGAATCCCCTTCTGAAGATCCCCCTTTAAAGTGCCATAGTCAAATTGAATTTCGACTTCTAACAGCTCTCATTAGGGATTAGCCTTCAAGGGTAGTTTCAAGTTAGACAGTATTCAAACTGTAGCATTTACCTACCTCATATAAATCAAGAACTTTAAATTTATGTCATCTAGTTAGAAGTAAATTTATGATCTAGTTAGATCTCCTGTCAGTTCCATTGTCAGTTCTAGTTGCCAAATAGTTCATCATTATGTGGGTGCTTAGGGTACCATAGGGTTCTTTAAACTCAGAAGTATCAGCAGGGACTCTTCAGAGCTTACTGATATATACTGCCTTCTGTTTCCTGTATTGGTAGGAGGCACAGCTGTGTGGAAAACTGAGGAGTCAGCCATGACATTTCCCTCCAATCACTGAGTTATAAAAATAGTATGTTTATAATGTATCTCAGATGTCTCAATTTTAATTCATTCTGTCCCATCTATACTTTTGTTAATTCAGGCTAATGTTGCCTCTTACCTACAGTGTTGTACCTCTTTTAGTGCTTTTCAATTTTTACTTTGGTTCTTTTACACATGTATTCTTTTGTTATTGTTTGGTATGCAGGGGTTGGGGGGGTCTTTCATATTTTGAGACAGAGCCTCACAGTGTAACCCCTGCCAGCCTTGAACTTGCTGCCCTCCTGTCTCAGCCTCCCTAATACAGTCATAAGAGTTGTATACCCGCACACCCAGAAAAAATGGTATTCTTTACACATTTTCCAAAGTGAACTTTGATATGCGGATCTGGACTCATTCATTTCACGGTCACCCTTGGCCACTGAGTAAAGTCTAAGCTCCCATGGTACCCACAGCTGTATGTTGCCTTGCCCCTTCTGTTTTCTCTGGCAGCATCCCATCATCTCCATGCCTTAGGTATATTTTTCAAGAACACTGAACTATTCACATCACTACCAACTCTTCCTATCCCAAATATCTGTACTCATTTTTTCAGCAAAAATTATATCTGACTATTTATTAGCATTTTTCTAGTCATTGTGTGTAAATGTAGGTATGACTGAATTTTATAAGATGACTATTGATGCTACAATAGGAAAGACTGGAGGAAGACAGAAAACTAAGAGATGAGATGAGATGAAATGAGATGAGATGAGATGATGAGATGATGAGATGATGAGATGAAATGAGATGAGGCATTATTGGAAAGATCCAGATGGGAAACTAGATTGACTCATATGGGGCACCAGCACTGGGATTCCGAGTGCATTTTGAGGACAACTAACAAGACCAAGTAACAGTTTGAATAAGGGGTATAAGAGAAAGGAGGGGTCATGAAGACTCCGTTCTTCTGAGCTGCTGAGAGGATTGAATGACTGTACAGTAAAGTGAAGAATAGAGGGGAGTTGGTTTGAGAGGGATTCAAAGCTGGCTTTTGCCTTATGCTCTGTTAGACCCTTGCTAGATGTTCAGGTAGGTATGCATTGTGCCTGCAGAATCTGTGAATCTGGATTTAAAGAAAGATCCTGGCTGGAATTGCAGAGTATTAATCATCAGTTCGATATTTAAAACTAGCCCCACATCTCCTTATCATTTCTTTCTCATACCTACTATCGGATTCTGATTCTGCGTGGTGCCTTAATCTCCTGAGACAATCTCTGTGTCTTATCATTACTGTGTCCTCTGATACCAGAATGTTAATGCCCCCAAATATTTGGCAATAAAGAAAATAACAGATAAAAGAATGAAGACAGGGAAGGCTTTATGGACAGTGTTAGTAAGTTTTTTTTAAATGGGTTTCTTTGGTGCCTATTAAGAACTGGGAGCAGAGCTTCACTTGGTGCATCTCTGTCTTAGGAAGAGTATTTTAGTAACTGCAGTGAGGGGGATGGACTGAAGAACTGGTATTTGCCCAAAGTGAATATCCAGTACCAAAGGGGTCAAAAGAAATAAAAAGTGGAGAACACAGCAAGACAGCATAACTCAGGGTGATGCACCCTCTGGGGAATGGCTCTTTGCACAGGGCAATAAGACTTCTCCGTTTGCAGAGAGCTTATTATTCAAATTAATGTTAGTTATTCAATATAAACACCCTCTGGGGAATGGCTCTTTGCACAGGGCAATAAGACTCCGTTTGCAGAGAGCTTATTATTCAAATTAATGTTAGTTATTCAATATAAACACTATATAATGTTTTTATTTCCATAAAAAAGAAATCAGTTAGCTATTATATAATTCCAGTCTTGGCCAGCCTGTCATTGTAGCCTTGTTACCCATCTGTACCTAGACCCAGCTGCCTCTGTCTCACAGAATCTTTGCTCCATGATTTCTTATGGATGAATATTTCCCTCCCTGTAACACCTGCATGATAATGCCAAACTCAGCTGTGCAGTTGTGACTAGATGTCAACCTTATCTGTTGAATACTGTTATAGTCACTTCAACTACTGTTTTAACAGTTATTGCATTGCCTTGTCCAAATGGTTCTATTCGGTCTCACACTCCTTCCTGTCTTTCATGTGGCATTTGACTAGTATACTTGCTGTTATCTAAGCATCTGTGTTCACACAAATAAAATTTCATAGCAATTCCAAATATACTGATATCTACAAACACACAGATGAATCTGCAGTAATTATTTTTAGCAACATCTAATATCAGACTGGGAAAGGGATAAAATAAATCATAAGAAAATGAAAAGAAAGAAATGAGTAGAAATTAGCAAGAGTTAAGGTAGGCAAAGGGGACTGATAACTGTGGAGCCCCTCTTATAACATGGATGGTATGCTGAGGGTCTTCCATACATTGTGTCATACAGCCCTACAATAGCTCTCTACAGCAGATGCAATCGTAATATTTAAAATGAGGAAACAGGCATAAATTAAGAAAATACAGTGAAAATTTTGAAGAAAAACATTTTGGGTAAAAAATTGTAATTTTCAAATAAACCTAAAAACTTACAGAAGAAATGTAACAGGCTTTACTGATGAAGTCTGTAACAGAAAATGAGTAGGAGGTGCTTAGCATGCCTGGAGCGGATGTCTCCTTGGACTTAAGAGTAAAGATCTCTGATCTCCAGTCTTAGCAGCTCTCTTTGGTACATTATTCTACCGGATCATATTTTCTGCAAATAATATGAAATTAAAATTGCATTTTGTATCTTACCTAAATACTCAACAAGACTGAGTACTTAATTTGCATGTATTTACTCTTATCTGTTATATTTCTAAATCATGCTGAATGAGATCTCCGATGTTGGATTTGTTGAATGCATTATGTAGTCAGATAAACTCTGAATGTGAATTTAAGTTGTTTAAGGGTTCAGCTGAACAGCTATCAACCAGAGTTTTATAGTAAAGCCAAAGTAGAGTGGCTTCCCTTTGACTGGTTGTTGAATATTCATTATTATGATCTGGTGCGCTTGGAGCTAGTGCTGCTTTCGTCTGGAAAGTTTAAGTATCCTCATCCTCATTTATTTTCTAGGTGGTAGGACAATGGTTTGCTATTATAAAATTTTCCTTTATTTACTTTAAGTTGGCAAAACCCAGAATTTAATATAAAAGAGGCTTCAAAACAAAACCTGGATATATTCAATGTTTTTTCATGTTTCTTAAAGTGAGAAATTGATTGTCTTTTTAAAATGACAGCTTTTTAAGCCCCAAGGTAATTGAAATTAGAACAACACAGCTATCCATCTGTTGTTGCTCCCTCAGGATCTCAACCCATTATCAAATATGCAAATCTGGAAAAATCAAATTAGTTTGGCTGTTTATCTCTTTAAAGAAAGGAAAAAGGACAAACAGATAAAGTTCTGCACATTTGCAGTTGGTACATCCATACAGGTATCTTTCCAGATCTTAACATCTGTTTAACTTTTTGTCAGCTCAGCTCTCTCAAACAAATGGGATTTGAGGGGGGTGTAATTTGAGTGTATTGCCTGCACATCTGTAAGTGTACCCACATCCTGAAATGCCCATGGAGATCAGAAGAGGGCATTGGATACCCTGGAACTGAAGTTAGGATGGTTGCTAGTCACATGTGGGTGCTGGGAACTGAACCCAGGTCCTCTGCAAGAGCAGCTGGTGCTCTTGACCACTGAGCCATCTCTCCAGCCCCATGAACTTGCTTCTTTAAAATGTTATATTTAAAAAAAAATTTTTTTAAAAAAAACTTTAAGATGGCCCAGTGATTAAGAGCACTGACTGCTCCTACAGAGGACCCGGGTTCGATTCCCAGCACCCACATGGCGGCTATGAACCGTCCTTAACTCCAATTACAGGGGAATCTGAAGCCCTTTTCTGACCTCCTCAGCATTGCATGACACAGGTGCACTCACATACATGCAGGCAATACACATATACACACAAAACAAAAAATAAAATATTTAAAAAATTTTTTCATTAATTTCTTCAGGTTTTTATAAAGCTCTCACTGTGCATGAGTGTGTGTGTATGGTGCTGGGGATGGAACCCCATGTCTATAATTCTTGACGGGTCAGAACAC